AGAGAAGTTTCAAGCTGCCAAGGTGAGGCTAAGCTAGCTTGTAAGGTTTTTCCGATGGCCAGGTGACTCACTGCTGTGCAGCAGTCTCAGATTATGAGATTAGCATCCTGTCCAACCGAGGCCTAGTCACTCTGGAATGGTCAGGCACATGTCAGGATGGTGTGTCAGGGCCTTGTGTGAACGGTGGAGCCTGGGAGGGGTCCCTGGGGGTGGGTTGGGGTGGCAGTGGCCGGTCACTTCTAACTGCTGTCCTGCCTGCCTGCAGACCTGCTGCGGATGTTCTTTGACGCACTGTATGACGAAGACGTGGTGAAGGAGGATGCCTTCTACAGTTGGGAGAGTAGCAAGGACCCCGCTGAGCAGCAGGGCAAGGGTGTGGCCCTGAAATCTGTCACGGCCTTCTTCAAGTGGCTCCGTGAGGCAGAGGAGGAGTCTGACCACAACTGAGGGCTGATGGGGCCGGGGACTTGGAGCCCCATGGACACACAGATGGCCCAGCTAGCCGCCTGGACTGCAGGGGGGCGGCAGCAGCGGCGGTGGCAGTGGTGCCTGTAGTGTGATGTGTCTGAACTAATAAAGTGGCTGAAGAGGCAGGATGGCTTGGGGCTGCCTGGGGCCCCTCTCCAGGATGCTGCCAGGTGTCCCTCTCCTTCCCCTGGGGCACAGAGATATATTATATATAAAGTCTTGAAATTTGGTGTGTCTTGGGGGGCGGGGGGCACCAACGCCTGCCCCTGGGGTCCTTTTTTTTATTTTCTGAAAATCACTCTCGGGACTGCCGTCCTCGCTGCTGGGGGCATATGCCCCAGCCCCTGCACCACCCCTGCTGCTGCCTGGGCAGGGGGAAGGGGGGGCACGGTGCCTGTAATTATTAAACATGAATTCAATTAAGCTCACTGCCTCTGCTTTATGGCCTGCTCCCTCTAGAGAAGGTGGGTATAGGTGGGGGGATCCTGCTTCCCAGAGCTGGCACTGGAGCGCTATTCCCTGTAACCTGGCACCCCTCCTGCCTCTTCCCCTGTCCATGATTGCAGCGGTCTGAGATTTCCCAGAAGGCTGGGCCCTCAGGTGGGCTTGATGGGTGCCCTCCAGGTCAGGAGAGAAGAGAGATTGGTGACAGGCATTCTTGTTGGACTCTGCTCTCCCACCAGAATGCTTCAAGCCCCAGTGCGGGGAAGGCTCTTGGGCTTCGGGCTGTTTACAGCTGGAAAATCCCTCTATGGATTCAAGGTGTCGTCTGTAAAATGAAGGGGCTGGGTGCATCGAGGTGGATTTTCTGGCCCCGTGTAGTGTGACAGGGCTGCCTTAGGGAGTGTTCCCCAGCCCCTGCCTTCAGGTGCCGGTCGGGTCCAGGAGGAGAGGACCGGCGTTTTCGAACCCGGCCCAGGCCTCCCCTGCGTGGCTGTGACGTTGCTGCGCCCCGCCCACTCCGGGTGGTGACGCGTGGCCACGCCCCCGCGCTGACGTCACCAGCCCGGTTCCCTCTCCGGGGAGCGGCGGCGGACGCGCGGCTCCCACCCCCTCCCCTCTCACGGGCTCTCCCCTCCCCAGTGGTGGCCGCGACCCGACCCTCTGCAAGGCGATGGCCCGCGCCCCGAGCGCGGGCTAGCGTGCCTGGGTGCCCGGCCATGGGCTGTATCGGCTCTCGGAGCCCGGCGGGTCAGGGTAAGAGGCGGAGGCCGAGCACGGGCTGGGGAGCCGGGCTGCGGCCGCCGGTGTGCGGTGCGCGGGCCGCGGGTGGGTGGGGGCCTTGCGGAGGGGGCCGGTGTCGGGAGAGGGAGGAGCCTGCACGGGGAGGCGGGCCAGGCAACAGGAGGGAGCGGGAATGAGCGGGGAAGGGGCCAGACTGACTCCGGTGCGCTCCCACGGCCTGCCTGCCTCGGGGTTTTGCGGGGCAGACGCGTGGTCTCGCCGCCGGCCGCCGTGTGCCCACTGCTCAGGGTGTCCGGAGACGCACAGCCCGGGGAGGGGCTGGGCCGCCCGATGCCCCCACCACTCCAGCCCGCGGCGACCGGCCTTGAGCGCCCACACACTCACTCCCCTCCGCCTACACCTCTGCCTTCACTGTCCTGGGAGTGGCCCTGTGCTGGGAACCTGCTTCTCCCAGCCGAGTCCCCATGTTCTTAAAGCGGTAGCCTTTCAACCCCGGCCAAGCACCCTCCCACAGAATTTGTGTCGGACATTTACTGACTCCTGTTTCGGAGTCAGTCGGCACAGGGGGACTGAGGCTCCGTTTGGGGCACCTGTGAACACTGAATCACCTCTCACTTATTACAGCTGCTGTAATTTCCTGCCCCCCATCAGCAAAAGCAAATCACCCTACTTTGTGGAGGGGAAGAGGAACCCAGAGGCCGGCCATCAGGGCTTCCATCCCGCAGTGCTGACCCCTGCTTGGGCCTGGGTTTCCGTGGGTGGCCGTGAGCCCCGGGCCTGGCCCGGGTCCTGTGCATCTGAGGTTGGCAGGCTTCCTTTACTGTGGTGTCGTGGATTTCTCCAAGCCTCGGGTCAGGCAGGGCTGGGTTTGGGTTGGGTCCTGGGCCTTCAGAGAAGGTGGTCAGTCACACAGGCCTTGGTGTGGTTGGTACTTGATGTTCTTTGGAGCTAAGAGTGGCTGAGATTTGTACTTCCCTTGAGGAATTCTGGGATTCGTAGTCCTAAGTTAACCTCGTGGCTTTTGAAGCTGAGGAGCAGCTGACTGCTCTGATCCCTCTGGCCCTGCCAAGGCTTGGAGTTCAGGAAGTCATCACCTCCTCTAGTCAGGGGTGAGTTTGGCTGACCTCAGAGCCCTGGTTAGGTACCAGTCGGGGGCCAGGGATGGCCTGTAACCTGTCTTCCTTCTGGTTGGTAGCATTTCTGGGGACCACCAGCTGGCTGAGGCTCAGGGACAGAGACGGCTGCTCCAGCTAAAGGTCAGTTGTGATGTACATTGCCTGTTGGCACTGTCTAGGGGACGGGCCTCAGCTCCCTGAGCCCCAGAGAGCTTGGCTGAGCCCTGGTACTCCCACCTCCTCAGAGCCATGAGGCAGGAATGTTCTCCTTATGTGACTAGGCACAGGTTCCAAATGGGGAGGGGACTGGCTCAGCATCCGGAGCCAAAACAGGAATAGAACTGGGAGCAGAGCCGGGAGCGGTTCTAGGCTTTTGGTTCTCTGCACCAACACAGCCAGCATGCCTATGATTTCTGTGCTGGGCAAAATGTTTCTGTGGCAGCGTGAAGGGCCTGGAGGACGATGGACTTGTCAGACAAGTCGCAGAGGTGAGACCAGGGATCATGGATGTGGTCTGGGAGATGATGGGAAGCTGAGCAGTAGGGGCTTAGGTGGAAAAGGAAAATCACTCTGGCTTAGATATTGAGAGCCAGGTTGAAGCAGCAAGAGCCAGGCTGGGGCCAGACAGGGCATCAGGAAACGGCTTCAGGGGACAGGGGTGAAAATCAGAAAAAATATCCTGAGTTTGTCAGAGAATAAGAGTGAAGAGCTGTGGGCCAGCCGAGGCTGGTGAGAGGAAAGAAAGCAGCAGGAGAGAGAGGAAGGCAGCACACCTGCAGAGGGTCCAGGGTGGCGGCGGTGGGGGACAGCAATGGTGGAACTCAGTTGCTTTCCAAGAGAAATGGGTAGGCTGGGAAATGGGGAGAGTCAGAATTTATCATCGTTTGGTTTCACCCCAGGGTTCTGACAGCAGCATTTATCTAGAGCAGGAAGGTGGCCCCAGGGGCTGGAGGGCCAGGGATGTGTGGGATAGGGGCTTTTAGAGATGAGGAGAGCACCTGGTGGGCACTGAGCTTCTGGAAGGTGGCGGGGGGAGGGACTGAGAAATGAAATGGCAATACCGGATGAAAATGGGGATCTTGGCAGAAGTAGGGGCACAGCTGAACAGCCTTTCCCCTTCCCCTCAGTGTCCTCGGACCCTGCGTGGGCTGTGGAGTGGATTGAACTTCCTCGGGGTCTCTCTCTATCCTCCTTGGGATCTGCTCGGACCCTCCGAGGCTGGAGCCGGTCCTCCCGCCCTTCCTCGGTGGACAGCCAGGACTTGCCAGAGGTGCTGGGCCCCTGGTGGTGGGGGGAAGGAGGACGGCATCCATATAAAGGGGATCTGCAGCCCCCACCCACGCCTGGCCAGCCTGCTTCTGGCTCCCTTTTCCGGAGAGCGGAGGCGCTATCCGGCGGCGGGCCGGGAGGCCGCCCCCGTGCCGGTCTGCTCCGCTAGGCGCCGTGCCAGCGGGCGGCGAGCTCGCGCCTTCGGCGCTGACGTCAGCGCATCCCGGGCCGTATCCCGGGAGACCCTGTTGCATGGTGATGGGTTGCCAGGGAGACATACACCTTTTCTCTGGGCCTGGGCCGCAGCTGCGCGGAACGCCAGGCACGGATGGCGGCGGCTGTGGGGAGCGAGGCGAGGGAGGGAGAGCCAGCCAGAAACACCCAGCAGGTGCTCCTCCCCCTGGGCCTGGCAGGAGGCTGCCGGCGCCACCCTGGGGCCCTGTCAGCCAGGTACCCAAGGGGAGGGAGCGAGGGTGGGCCTCGGGTCAAGGGGCAGTGTTGGCTGTCCTTGCGAGGGACAGGAACGTGATAGCGGAGAGCCGAGCAATGCCGGGGAGGGGCGTGTGCCTCCCAGTTCCTACAGTGATGGAAACATTTGCTGGGGCTTGTCAGGGAGCGCTGAGCCAGGTGCAGGGTGGAGTTAGGAACTTGGTGCATCCCACTTAGGCCTGGCCATCCCGAGCTCCCTCAGGAGATAGACAAGGGCAATGATGGGGGCGGGGTGGGGCAGAGAAGAGAGAGGCTGTGGGCTGAAAGCATTACTAGGAAGCCACATTTGAGAGAGGCCTTAAGTGATGGCAAGCATTTTTTCAGGTAAGGATGGCATTCTTGGCCCAGAGGAAAGCTGGGTTCCTTTTCCTAGAGGCAGGTGGGCTGCTTGCTGACAGAGACTGGTAGAGAAGGGTTTGGTTTTGTTTTGAGACAAGTTTTGCTCTTGTTGCCCAGGCTGGAGTGCAATGGTGCAATCTCAGCTCACTTTGATCTCTGTCTCCCGGGTTCAAGCAGTTCTCCTGCCTCAGGTTCCTGAGTAGCTGGGATTACAGGCGCCTGCCACCACACCCAGCTAATTTTGCATTTTTGGTAGAGATGGGGTTTCTCCATGTTGGTCAGGCTTGTCTTGAACTCCTGACCTCAGGTGACCCACCTGCCTTGGCTTCCCAAAGTGCTGGGATTACAGGTATGAGCCACCACGCCCGGCCTGAGAAGGGGGGTTTGATTGGGCAGAGGAGATCAGCGGTGGATTCCAAGGAGGCTTGGAAGGAGGCAGGGGCATCACAGAGTGAGGTCCTTCAGGGCCTGGGTGTGATGCCTGCACTAGCTTCACTGGACAGTGGGGGGAGCCGAGACAGGATTTTAGAGACAAGTAACCGTCTGCACTCCAGGAAAACTGTTTACATTATATCTTAACTCATTCATCCAGGCTATGCCTTTTAAAGAGATTATTCTGTATTAGGTGGTATGCTAAACACTGGGCACTACAGTGACTAAAACAGACTAAATTCCCCACGAGCCAAAGACCAGTGAGGGAGACCAACAAGAAACAGGAAATGCAAAAGAGACCATTATCACTCACCACGATTAAAGGCCACAAATGGGGGACACTGACAGAGAGTGATCTGTTAGAGACAAAAGAGGGAGGACAGAGCACCCAGAGGGGGGCCAGGAAAGCTACTCTGACAAGGTGGTATTTCAGCCCATACTGGAAGAATGAGAGCTAGACATCACAACAGTCACCACTCATTACACTTTGGCCTGAGAAGACAGCATGGGAGTGGAGGAGGCTGGGGGACACCATTTCTGCTGACCTGGGCAGGAGGCATTGGGGGCCTGAGACAGGGCAGTGGAGTAGGGGTAGAAAGGATGGGGTAGGGGCTGGGAGTTTGCAGGTGGAATCATTAGGACTTATCAACGGATGGGGGCAAGCAGAGCTTGGGGAGAGTCTATGGTAATGCTGAGGCTTGGAGCCAGGCTGGATGGGAGAATGGTGGGTGATGAAAAGGAAAGAGCTCAGGAAGCAGGGCCAGACATGCGGAGAAGGTGTTGGTGTTTGATTTCCATCTTACCGAGTTTGCAGGAACAGCTGGAATGTGGGTTGGAAGACCAAGAGGAGCAGGTGGAGGGGGTGTGGGGGGCGGTGGAGGGGGGGTGGGGGGCGGGGGAGGGGACTCTTAAAGCCCTGGGTGCCACACTCTTCTCCTCCCTCCTCTTCCCTCTCCCCAGAGGTTCCACTCGTGGTTCTTCATTTCCTGCCCTGCCTCTGTCTCCCCTGGGTGCCGGGAAGGTGGAGGATTAGCTGAAGTTTTGCTTCCTGGGGCCTGTCTGAATCTCCATTGCTTTCTAGGAGGACAAAATTCACCTGTCCTAGCTTCTTCTCATCTTACATTTCCCTGTAGCCACTGGGACGTAGGTGCTGTTCCCTCCTCATCCCGTCTCCTCCTCGTGTCTTGGCTGGGTATGGGCATGTTAGAGGGAAGCTCATTGCTGTCAGAGGAGCACTAACCTTCTAATGGTGTCACCCAAGGTGAATGTTGGAGACACAGTCGCGATGCTGCCCAAGTCCCGGAGAGCCCTAACTATCCAGGAGATTGCTGCGCTGGCCAGGTCCTCCCTGCATGGTACGCAGCCCCTGCTCCCATGTTTCTGGCTTCTCTGCCCTTTCTCCTCCCTTTCGTACATTCTCTCCAGAACTGTTTCCTGTGAGCACATGCTGGGGTCTCCCCTCTCCTCCCTTGCTCAGATGAATCCCACCCCCTTCCCCCACCTAAAGGTTCACATACGTCCTGAGTACTGCCACCCTTCCACCCCCCTGCCCAGGTGCGCCCTGGCCTGTTCCCTTACCAGGCTTCTCCACTCTCCCGTCTCCAGGTATTTCCCAGGTGGTGAAGGACCACGTGACCAAGCCTACCGCCATGGCCCAGGGCCGAGTGGCTCACCTGATTGAGTGGAAGGGCTGGAGCAAGCCGAGTGACTCGCCTGCTGCCCTGGAGTCAGCCTTTTCCTCCTATTCGGACCTCAGCGAGGGCGAACAAGAGGCTCGCTTTGCAGCAGGTGGATGGCAGAAAGGGGATAAGCTTCACGCTGGTCACAAGGCAGCTTTCTTTTGTCTCCTCGGGTCTGACGTGGGGGTCGGAGTCTTTCTGTACCCTGTTTCTCCTCTCTCCTGTCTCCAAGCCGAGCCCTAGACTCAGCTCACCTTCTCTGCTAATGCGTTCCGTCCCTACGACAGGAGTGGCTGAGCAGTTTGCCATCGCAGAAGCCAAGCTCCGGGCATGGTCTTCGGTGGATGGTGAGGACTCCACTGATGACTCCTATGATGAGGACTTTGCTGGGGGAACTGACTCAGGTGAGGGGCAGCCTGTGCTAGTGCTGTGGACGACCTGCCTGATAGCCCTTGGGGCTCATTCACAGCCATACCCATGTCCTCAGCCTGTGGGAGGGGAAGGGGGAGAGGGGCAGACTCGGTCGGGGGAGGCCTGGACACTCTAGGGACAGGAAGGCTATCCACACTCATGGGTGGGAGATGAGCACACAGAAATGCGTTAGTTCCTTTCCTTCAGGTGCGGAGGCTTCTCTGCCTGTCTGCATGCTTGTGCCTTGCAGTCCTCAGAAAAAGGGGGAAAAAAAAAGGCCAGGTGCGGTAGCTGGCTCACACCTGTAATCCCAGCACTTTGGGAGGCCGAGGCAGGCAGATCACAAGGTCAGGAGTTCAAGACTAGCCTGGCTAAAATGGTGAAACACGTCTCTATTAAAAATACAAAAATTAGCTGGGTGTGGTGGCATAAGCCTGTAGTTCCCAGCTACGTGGGAGGCTAAGGCAGAAGAATCGCTTGAACTCAGGAGGTGGAGGTTGCAGTGAGCTGAGATTGTGCCATTGCACTCCAGCCTGGGCAACAGAGTAAGGCTCGGTCTCAAAAAACAAAAAAACAAAAAACAAAACAAAATAAAGCCCAAAGGCCTCAAGGACACCTTCTGTGCAGTGACGTCTCAGGGAGGCATTGCAGGTCCTTTGCCTCTTCCTCCCCGAGGCAGCCTTCTGGCTGGCTGTGGCAGGGCAGAGGAGCCGCAGCCCCGGGTCAACAGGAAGACATGCTGGGCCTGGAACACCCACGGTGCCGAGCTGGCTCCAACTCAGCATCCTTGCATTCCAGCCTGTGGGCCTTGCTCTGGACCGTGCTTGCAGAGGGGACCCCGCAGGGCTCAGCAGCTGTGTTCGGCCCTCCTTTCATCTTTCACTCCCTAGACCATGTGGCTGATTTTCTCTGTAGCTCCTGGGCTCAAGTCTCACAGGCCACCGTTCCCCACAACCTCTTTGCCTTTGAAGATTACCTCTACCAGCCCCTACCCCTCCAGTGAATTAGCAAGTTCTCCAAGGCAGGCAATACATGAGAGCAGGTTGGAGACTGCAGCTGTGGTCTGGAGGGCTGAGGCGAATGTCTGAAGGCGAGGTGGAACCTTAAACCACAGGCATTTCTGTTTGTTTGAGTTCCAGGCCCGCTTTGACACCTGGGGTAATGATAATAACTAATGTTTATCCAAGGTTGCTACTAGCCCGTGTGGAATCTTTGTGCAAATTAGAAAAAGGTACCCCCTTCTCTGGCAGGCTAGGGCATGCCGCTGGGTGAGCAGAGTAAGGGCTAGATTATGCTGTCTCTCACTGCCTTGGATGGGCCCTGTGGTGCAGTCAGCACCTGTGTGACCATATGCAGCGGCCCCTGCATTTCTTGTTCACTGTGTGCCAGACTCTTGTTCTCATATTGTTGGAATCTCCAACTCCCCATTAAGGAAACTGAGGTCTCAGAAAATTGTGAGTGGTTCAAGGTTATCCAGCACCTATCCACCACCCCAGAGCTATGCCAGGGATGGAGCAGGGGGAATGTGGACGATGGAAATGGAGCTAGTAAGGCTGTCTTCTTTTCTGCTCCCCTCACAGACCTCGCTGGGCAGCTGCCCCTGGGGCCGCACCTCCAGGACCTGTTCACCGGCCACCGGTTCTCCCGGCCTGTGCGCCAGGGCTCCGTGGAGCCTGAGAGCGACTGCTCACAGACCGTGTCCCCAGACACCCTGTGCTCTAGCCTGTGCAGCCTGGAGGATGGGCTGTTGGGCTCCCCGGCCCGCCTGGCCTCCCAGCTGCTGGGCGATGAGCTGCTTCTCGCCAAACTGCCCCCCAGCCGGGAAAGTGCCTTCCGCAGCCTGGGCCCCTTGGAGGCCCAGGACTCCCTCTACAACTCACCCCTCACGGAGTCCTGCCTTTCCCCCGCGGAGGAGGAACCAGCCCCCTGCAAGGACTGTCAGCCGCTCTGCCCACCTCTAGTAGGCAGTTGGGAGCGGCAGCGGCAAGCCTCTGACGTGGCCTCTTCTGGGGTGGTGTCCTTAGATGAGGACGAGGCAGAGCCGGAGGAACAGTGACCCGCCTCATGCCTGGTGGCATGCATCCCCTGGCTGCTGCTAGGGGCAGAGCCTCTGTGCCCAAGTGTGGGCTCAAGGCTCCCAGCAGAGCTCCGCAGCCTCGAGGGCTCCTGGGAGCGCTCGCTTCTCCGTTGTGTGTTTTGCATGAAAGTGTGTGGAGAGGAGGCAGGGGCTGGGCTGGGCTGGGGGCGCATGTCCTGACCCCACTCCTGGGGCTTGCCGGGGGTGGCCCGGGGCCTCGGGGGCATGGCTACAGCTGTGGCAGGCAGTGATGTTCATGTTCTTAAATCCAAATGCCACACGCACATTTCCTCCTCGGATGATGTGAACCGCTAAGGGGGTGGTTGTGACTGGGCTGTGTGGGGGTGTGGAGGGAGGGGGCCCAGCCACCCCCCACCCTCCCCACACCTCTTTCTTCTCTGCTTTTCTCCTCACCTCCGAGTCCATGTGCAGTGCTTAATAGACACACCCCCACCTGGGGGGCCGGCTCCTGCCTTGCCAGAGCCTGTGGGTTGAGCCATCCCCCAAGGCCCCCTGCCCAGCTGGGCTCGTGCTGTGCTTCACCTCTCCATCGTCTCTAAATCTTCCTCTTTTTTTCCTAAAGACAGAAGGTTTTTGGTCTGTTCTTTCAGTCGGATCTTCTCTCCTCTGGGAGGCTTTGGAATGATGAAAGCATGTACCCCCCACCCTTTTTCTGGCCCCCTAATGGGGCCTGCGCCCTTTCCCAACCCCTTCTCGGATGTGCGGGCAGTGTTCTGGAGCCTCCCAGCCAGCCGGGCTGCCCATGTTCACTCAGAGGTCTCCGAGCGAGCGGGCAAGAGGTGGAAGAAAGACTGGCTCTGGTTGCCACAGAGCTGGGACTTCCATGTTCTTCTAGAGAGGGCCACAAGAGGGCCACAGGGGTGGCTGGGAGTTGTCAGCTGATGCCTGCTGAGGTGCAGGATTTGTGCCAGTGAGTGACAGCCATGGGGGCGTATTTCTCCTTGGGGAGGGAAGAAGGTAGAGCCTTTCTTGTCTGAATGAAAGGCCAGGGCCCCGCCCCAGCCAGGGTGTTGATGAGCACACGGTGGAGACTCTGGCAGATCCTGCATTCCAAGGTCACTGGACTCCAACTTTTCATGGTTGTGGGGTGGTGCCTTGTAGGCTTTGTCAGGTAAGAGGGCCCAAGGTAAGAACAAGAGCCAACGGGCACAAGCATTCTATATATAAGTGGCTCATTAGGTGTTTATTTTGTTCTATTTAATAATTTGTTTTATTAAATTAATATAAAAATCTTTGTAAATCTCTATATACATCTGGTCATTGGAGGTTCCAGTTATAAACCCATCTTGGTTCTACCCCTTTCCCCTCAAAGGGGGAACAGGGGTCAAGTGACCCTAACCCCATCCTGCTAGGGCAGGGCCGATCTTCCTGGCCCTGGAAAACTTGCTGCAGGTGGGCACTGGGTCAGATTCCAGGCAGGATGAGCTGGGAGAAGCTGGCACCCCAGGTCTGGAGGGGGATGGGGTGCAGCCTCCGGCTGTAGCTGCCCCCTGCCTTCCCAAGGCAGAAGGGATGAGAGACGCAGATTCTGGGCTGACGGCCTGGCTAGCACCATCCTAGGCCACCCACGAGGGCTTCATTGGCATTTGTCGTCGCTGTCAGAAGGGCTGCCCTCCCGGGGGAGGCCATGACGGGAGTGGGGCCCCCAGAGTGCATGCACCTCAGTGGTCTCCGTGTCACTGCTGCTAGTGGCACTGTCTCGGAAGCTGGCGAGGGGCGGCCGGACCTTCACACCCTGTGCCGTGACGGAGCCCTCGATGGCCTTCCGGAGCTGGAAAGGTGAGAGGGACAGATGTCTGGACCCAGAGCTCCCGGCTCAGACTCCTCCCCGCCTCTCCCCCCAGGTGAGCCGGACCTCAGCTTCCGTAGGCCACCATCATCTCACCTCCTTTAGAGTAACGATTCCAATGAGTCTCCCAATACTGGTGACATAAGCGTGGTCCACTCCCAGCAGCGAGAAGATGGTGTGAGTCTGCAGTGTGGGGAGAAAACAGGTTGGATTTGATGGACAAGGGGCAGCTCTAAATGACAGGCCACAGGGGGCCAGGACAAGGTTGGCATGGAATAGAAGGGGTGTCACAGATCATGAGGGAATGAGATTGGGCTGCTGGAGGGAAAACAGTAACAACTGTAATAATGAGAATGTTTCTGTGTCCAGGCCTCAGAAGCTTGATACTCCAAATCCTAATGCTGCTCACACGGAGAAATAGGATGGGGGAATAATTCTCAGTCCCGTGTTAGAAAGGGGGATGCGGGACAGAACAACTGCTCACACACGAAGTCCAGTGATGGGCTGGGCTCCAGGCTAGGTCTTACAACATCATTTCATTTCAGTGCTCTCCTGAGAACTCAGCATTAGGAGAAGCAGCATGGGGCTCCACAGTGAAGTGACTTGTTCTGGGTGGATCATCAGGAGTGGCTGTGCGGCCCCAGGCACTTGGGATGCACAGCCCCACTCCTGTTTAGTTGCAGATGTACCCAGAAGGGAGAGCCCACGCCCACCTGAAGGGCCCCGGGCCTGAATGCTGTGCCTCTCGCTCCGCTGCTTCTCAGCTGCCTTCCCAGCTCAGTGGCCAGGTGCGGGGCTCTGGCATCCCGGTCTTGGTCTGACGCATGCTATGCCTCTCACATGGTCTGCCTTTTCTGGGGTCCAAGCAGCGTCCCAAGTTCTGCTGAGATGCAGCTTGCAGTCCAGGAGGACCACAGGCACCCCATCCTCCCATGCTTTGCTTGCTTTGAGCCCTCCCCTAAGCTTTCAGATATAACCACCAAGGCTTCAGAAACTGTCAGCCAGTTCTCCTTGTGCTTTAAGTAGATTTTCTTGGGGCCAGATGTCTTGAAAAACGCTCTCCTGACTCAGCAGTTCCTGGAATTTTTTGCCTATCATTTATCTCACTGTTCTGAGTTTACTTGTAAGCCTCCTGGCTTAATGTTTGGATCAAGATGAGCAGTAATAACAGCTTCTTCTGTATCAATTACTCAGAACTCATTTAAATTGCCTAAGTACTTTTTAAATGTTCTTATACATTTGAAATTCTTCAGGGAGGGATTTCCAGAACTTTCCTAAATTTCTCTACCCATGGCATGACAGTACTTAGAGGGGCGAGAAGTTCAATTTTAGAATAAGCTCTTCTGGGCGCCGTGGCTCATGCCTGAGGATGAGGTGGGCAGATCGCTTAAGCCCAGGACTTTGAGACTAGCCTGGGCAATATGTAAAACCCTGTGTCTACAAAAAGCAGACGTGGTGTGTGCCTATAGTCCCAGCTACTAGGGGGTCTGAGTTGGGAAGATCACCTGAGCCCAGAAGGCAGAGGCTACAGTGAGCCATGATCATGCCACTGCACTCCAGCCTGGGTGACAGAGACCCTGTCTCT